GCACTTTATTAAATTTGCGTTAGCGGGGTTATAGCGTAGAACACGTCAGCTCGATATGACATTCGCAAAATTGTGTTTTGTTTCATATTATGTTGTAATTCATGTGTGTGTGTATGTGTAAATACAATTCATGTGTATATGTGTGTGTGTAGGTGTATTATGTGTACGTGCACGTACCCATGGGTGGAACGGGCCGTGGTGAGTAGGCGATTAGGCAATGTTGCTGCTGTCACGGAGCCATTCACGGTCGAAAAAGGGGGAATGGCCGAACTCATTTAGCCACATTTAATTACAATATTTTGTTTATATTTATTCACTCAATTTTTAATGCATAATAGTACATAACATACATATATAAACAAATAATGTATTCACATAAACATACATATATGTACATATATATATATGTATATGTGCATATGTATGTATGCAACTACGTAAATACAAATCCAGCCACCAAATACTTAACGGAAAGAATTATATACATAAAACAGATGAATATACATTATACCAAGGACAGCTTTAATGTGTCAGTACCGGCATTAAGGACAATCTTTTCTGGTGTCGTTGGAGCGCCTAAACGAACCCATTCTCGCTTAAGTCCGGCATCTTTTCGAGCAGACTGTAGAGCGTGCTGTATAGCGAAAATTGAACTGATCGCTAAACAGCAAGGAGGTTCACCTGTCGCTTTTGAGCGCATGAAGCCTGCTGGATTTGGATTCTTTTGCAGCAATTCGATGCGAAAATCAATGGGTATGTCTTTAGCGCCAGGTGGTTTATAATTCCATGTACGATTTGTTAGGAGTTGCCCAGTTTGCCGGTCATAAATCAGTTGCTCCGTAAGCCAGTAACCTAGCATCATAACAAACGAACCTTCCACTTGACCAATATCAATGTACGGACTGAGGCTTTCTCCAGCGTCTTCCAATATGTCGACTCGTTTTATTTGATTATTGCCCGTTAAAATGTCTACTTCTATTTCCGTTAATGCTAAGCCATAAACATTATAGTTCTCCATATCACCTTTTTTATAATGATCACTAACGATCAAGTTTATAGCTTTTCCCCAAGCTCGCTGGACAACATTTAACCAACCACCGTCCTTACCAAGTTCATCTTTTACGGGTTTAAGACGTTCATTTAGAGTTTCGCATGCTTTTCGTACGGCAAAACAAAGACTTTCACTGCCAACTGCACCTCCTGTTACCATGGAATTAGCTCCATTGATGGTGTCACTCGACTCAATCTTAATAAAAGATAAGGGTATGCCGAGTATGTGTGCAGCCACTTGAGCAATTTTAGTGTTCATGCCTATCAAGAAAAAGAAGAGATTACCACACTATAATTTTTTACACAGCAGTCTCCAAAACTACTTAAGTACTTATTGCATATAAGAAATATTTATGTACTTGAATATTTATATACATATCGCTCATTTATTTCAATAGTCATAACTCAAATAAGCAAAACTCGAGACAAACGGCTTTAAAGTTTTGAATTTACATATCGGTGGCGGAGTGGAAGATCGACCTATCTCGGCAGCCAGTTCGAAAACGCCCTATCTCAGCACATTTTCAGTGTGTTTTCATTTGAGATAGGGTGTTTTTCAATAAAATCTGAAATAGGGCTATTCAATCAAATTCTAAAGTAGGGCGTTCTTGAAAAGTTTTCTGATATAAGGCCTTTTCGAACTGGCTGTCGAGATAGGTCGATCTTCCACTCAGCCATCGATGTACTCCCATTGTAAAAATTAATACCTATTTTGTTCTAGTGAGTCACTAGTAATCGATACAGCTATTAAATTTTTACACAACATAGTAGAAGAGGTAACGTACTGCATACTTAACTCAATATTTTCATTTTTTGATTATGGCACTCAGGGATGAAAAAGTAGGTACAATTGTACCTTTTTCCGACGATTGCTGACCTAAAGGTACATTAGGTACAATCACTAGATTTTAGGTACAATCATATTTTGATCAGATGCCTTTTTAGTTGGGAGAAGCTTCGTTTTCATTTTGAAAAATTTACAATTATAAAGGAAAGTAGTCAAAAGGAAGAAATTAACAAAATCATATTAGGGGTAGTCTTTGAGTCTTGCAAAGCTCTCGCACCATAAAAACCGGTTTTCGTATGGGAGAGCTTTGCAAACCGTGCACCGTGCAAGGGCTTTGCAAGACTGCGAGAATACCCCTATTATGTATTCTCTTAAAGATTTTACATTGCATTTAGAAAAGCCCCTACGAAGAAGTAACACTTTACTTAGCTCTCCTCAAATTCGTAATTCTTGTCATATTTTTTATATTACAAATTTGAACCAATTTCTTCCATAAAATGTCATTGGGCCCTAGACCGACGTACACCCCTCTCTCGATTGAAGGTGTGAAATCTACAAACGATCTACCTTTGCAATTTTTGGAATGCATTTTTTAATCTATTGAAACCATAAAAGCTAAAGTTTCCCGCATACGATAACATTTTTAACTTTTCTTTTTATTTTATGACTAGGATTTCTTCAAATTTCACATTTTCTGTAGTAGAGGCAATAGGTATTTGACCCATATTCCCTGTTTGATTTCTAGAAATATATTCCAAATGTTTTCGAAGTTACTCGCGGGAATTCCCATTATGTATTTTCTGCACCTATTAAAGGGAACCCGATAAATTAGCAGACTTTTCCTATTGTTTTATAAAAAGCTGGATAAAAAAGTAAACTTGGCAAACATCTTTTAATTTATATTTTAAACAGAATTAATAAAAAAAACTACAAACGAATGATATAACTTTTTTAAGTACAATCTGTCTCATTTAGGTGCATTTATTTTATGATATTGGGTAGAATTTGAAATTCCATTTTTCATCCCTGATGGCACTATTGAAGTAAAAGAGCGATATGATAAAAAGCATTGGATATACGAAATTTTGTTTGTGCACCAAATTACGTCATAACGTCAGTGCATAGCAATTATATAAAATATACATACAGCACAAAGAATAAAGTAGTGATGTCAGTGGCAAAAATACATCGACGTTTTTCTTTGATTCGATGTATCGAAATGTACAGTATCGGTCATATCTATAGCACGCCATTTCAAAGTGATATTATTTATTTTTAAGAGTTTTCAATTAAAATATAGTTCATTCTCAGACAAACCCCATATAAACCCAAGTTTAATAATTTGTAGAAAACTACAAAAAAGTGCAACAAATTTGCACCTAAATTTCAAACTTTTTTCTCGGAAGTGTTAAAATTTTTTTTGAGTACACAGTTTTTTAGCTCGTTCAATTTTAGTCCGATAATGTGCAAGTTTCAAGTGACTAAAAGTTACCGTTGATTTTTTAGAATTTTTACTGCCAAAGGTGTTGCGGATTTCTTCCATATACGAACAAATTGAGTTTATTCATTATATGGAAGCCAATGCGACAAACAAAATTCTCAAAAATTAACAGTAATTCGTAGTCACTTGAAATTTGCACATTATCGGACTAAAATTGAAGGAGCTAAAAAACTGTGTAGGGTTAATACTATGTACTATGTATTGTACTTTGTTCATTTTTGTACTTTGTTCTTTTTCATTTAATGTAAATCAAAAAAAAAATTTTTGATACTTCAGAATTTTTTCTTCTTTGAAATTTAAAATACATTAAATTTAAATTCAAATTTTATAAAAATAAAATTCTTTTAACTACACCACAATTGGCGACCCTGCCAGGAGGAAAAAGCGGTTAAAAAATCTATCTCCTGTAAATACAAATTTAACCTACGTACGCAATATTTAAGCATTCAGAACAAAGATTTGAAGATCGACCTGCAAGAGGGACAACAAAACTTCGAGCTTGATGTTTCTATTATTTGCTGAGTCCGGCTATTAGAAAAGGTTTTGGACGGGTTTCTATTACTGGTAATCAACGTAGCCCGTATTGTTACAACCATTTCGCCCTACAATACCCTGCAAAAAATTGTGCGACTAATCTCTAAAGAGAGTATTCCGAGATTAGTCTCAATCAGGTACAATTGGGCATTAATTAGTCGCAACTAGTCTCATACGGGTACTAATGGAGATCAATTAGTCTCGACTCATCCCTCACGGGTATAACTGGAGATCAATTAGTCCCCGACTTATCTCTAACGGGTACTATTAACGATTTAATGATATGTACGCACTTAGTAAATGAAATTTCATGTGCGGCGATGGCACATAGAGAGAGTATTCGCTTAACAAAACTGAGAACCCCGGTTCGAGTCGCAGCTGGCGAAAATTTTTATTTTTATTTTTTAAAAGTGACTAGTCGCAGTTTATACCCGTTCGGGTATAAAGGTGAACAATTAGTCTCTTCATAGG